CTATATATTAACAGAACGGGGTGGTCAACTGAAGATTTGGCTTGGCATTTATTACTATTTAGTTTCGTACCACACAGCCTGTGTGGCACTCGTCGGATAAAATTGCCAAATGCGAACTTACAACGTTACACTGATTTGAAATAACGTTCACCGATTCGAAATAACGTGATACCTACCATATATGGGTTCCCTGCCTTACGCGCGCGCAATAAAGGTAAGGGCTAGAAATAAATAAGTAAATAAAATAAATAAATGAACACAGACACTAAAGCGTGGCAATGAATAAACACAGACGTGCGTGCATTAAAAGTAAGGGCTAGAAATAAATAAAAAAACGGACACTATTGCGTGCCAGGGTAGGTGTTGAAATTTTTCAGGAGGAATTTCTTAGCATGTCTACATGAGGCAAACAGTTCATTTCGTTTGTTAAGAGAGGCTAAATCGGGTTTGCAAATTATAAAGTACTTCTCCCAGAGACATAAGTTACAGCGATTTGAGACAGGGCTGTATGGAGCGGCCTGCTTTAGAATCTTCCAGGAAATCGTGTAATCTATGTTCTTGTCTTTTAAGTTCCAGACATGTTTACTTGGTTCAATGCTGTGTCTTTTGCTAGAGTGGTTGAATAAAACTTTGTGGTTGGCATATCTTATCTTGAAGGAGTTTTCTGTCAGGCCCACATAGGTCTTGGCGGGATTATTGTCTTCGGTTGTTACGGTTGCCTGATAGACAACCGATTCCTTGAGGCAGTTTCTACCCATGGGACACTCAGCGGGGTTTCTACAGTTGCATACCTTGGTTGGTTTGGCTTTACTTTTTAAGACCGATTTGTTGTGGCTATCGGTGGTTTGCTTGAGGTTGGACATACAACTATAGCTGATCTTTACTGTGTTGCGGTTGAAGATCTTGTGTAGCACATTGTCCTTGGGGAATTCCTCGTCGAGTATCCTTAGAAATGCAAGTCCAATGTTGGTTTCTACATTTCTGCCGTAAGGTGGATTCTATCAAATAATTTCTCTCCTTCGATTCGATTTTAGAGGGTGGGTAGAGGTTTGGGGTGAAAATGTAAGTTTATGTTTGTATCCACTGTTGTTGAGGGCATTCTGATAGAGCGGCGCTGCCTTGTAGAAGGATTCTTCATCGTACGAAAACTCTGACAAACCTTTATTTATAGATTGTGGAATGTTGTCAATTATGGACGGTGGGTGGTTGGATTTCTTGTTGATGTAAACTGGGTTGTTGTTAGGCTTGTTGTAGGGCATGTATTTACCATTGTTAAGGTTGAGAGTGACATCGAGGAAGTTTACGACTTTCTTGTTGGCTTCGATTGTTATTTTAAGACCATGCCTCTCAAAAATTCTGCAGAGATCTTTCTTAATTATCTCTGCTTTTCGGGGTGATTCTCGGATCACTCCGAGGCCGTCGTCTCTGTATAAGTCAAAGTTGTGGCCATGTTTCTCCTTGATGGTGTACAAGAGATAACAGCCAA